CCCCCCGCCCCCCCCCCCCCCCCCCCCCCCCCCCCCCCCCCCCCCCCCCCCCCCCCCCCCCCCCCCCCCCCCCCCCCCCCCCCCCCCCCCCCCCCCCGCGCCTGCTTCTGCCTCTTTGACTTCTGAAGTCAGCCATCTGCCCCTCCCTCCTCTGTCTGCCCCTCCTGGCCTCCACCCCCCTCCGTCCCTTCAGTCCGTCTTCTGCCAGTTCATCACTGCACGTGTCCATCCATCCATCCCCAGACCCTCACTGCCCACGCAGCCGGCGCTGCGGGCCGCCCTCAAGGGCGGTGTGGGTGGAAGTAGACACAGGGGTCTGGAGCGGCAGGTGCCTGCTTAGCAGAGGAGGCAGCGCAGAGCTTGGCCTTGTAATGCAACAGGCCGGCAGGATGCAAAAAGGTAGGGGCAGCATTCCTGAGAGCGGAAAACATGCTCGGGCCCTGAGGGGCAGCGCAGTCAGTGTCCCGAGAGTTGGTACTCAGGACCTCCCAGGGACTCAGTGCTCAGCACCTCCAAGGACTTGGTACTCAGTACTCCCAGGGACTCAGAGCTCAGCACTTGAGCTTGGCAGAAGCATAAAGAGCAAGAAGGGAGCTGCCAGCAAGTGAGGCTAGGGGTTGGCGGGAGAGGGATCACGGAGGCTGCCCAGCGGCTGGGCCATGGGGAGCCATGGACGGGATGGGAGTGGGCAAAGGTGTGCTCAGATCCTGCTGGGGGCTGGGGCCACCAAGTGCACCTAAGCCAAACCCTGTGTCACCTCCCCACCCACCCCTAGGCAGCCCCAAGTCTCTCCCTCACCCCAGCTTGGGACTGGTATGGGGGGAAGGCGCTGGCAGGGGAAGCCTGGGGTCAGGTAAGGTGTGCCCGTGTGCGAGCCTGAGCAGCCAGGTGCCAGAGCTGGCTCTGGAAGGGCCGGGGAGCCCCTGGGCAAAGGTGGAACAAGAGGCGGCCTGCTTGGCCCACACCTGGGAGAGCCCTGGGGAGGCTGAGTAGGAGGCTGGTTTCGCTCTCCTCGGCATGGGTCTCCTCCCAGAGCCGCCCAGTCGTTGGCCCAGGCCCCAATGACCTCCCCTGGCAGCGAGGAGAAAGGATGTCTTCCCGGGACGCTTCCCTGTCCACCTCCCTGGGGCTCCCACAGCCTCCTACTCTGCCCACCCCCCCAGAATCAGAATATGACAGCCCCCAGCCGGCTGCCAACATGCCTGGGGTAGGACCCCCAGGGAGCACAGTGCCCAGCTGGCCACCCTGGGCCTCTAAAACCCCAGGTCCGCCCACCCAGAACCCCTCTCCCTCTGCAGGGCAGAGCTGCAAGTTCTGGGGATGGACATGCTCTCCTCCCCTAGGCCCTACATAGGCACTAAAGGTCTGGCGTTGGGTCCCCAGAATCCCTGGCTTGGCAGGAGGAAAGCTGCCCTCTGTCCTGCTCCACCCCCCAGCTCTGAGCTCCGCCACCTTCACCTCAGCCTTGAGGGCTGCAGGGACCCTCCACCGACCCTTTCCGGGTGAGGCTGGAGGGGCCCGAGGCTTGGGCGTGGCCTGGCCGCAGGCATGGACCCCGCCCAGCCGCCCAGCCGGCTCACCTGCATGCTGGCCCCAGAGTCTGGCGAGGAGCTGGCGATTGTGGTGCCCGCGGACCCGAACCGAAGTGTGGCAGTAAGGCAGCTGGGCGCGTCCTACCTGACTTCCGCGTGGGACTCACCCCTCCCTCCTTCGTCTCTCCAGCCTCCCTCTTCCTCCTCTTCCTCCTCCTGGCAGATCCTTCTGCTGCTGCTCCTGGGCTGGAAGGCACACCCCTTCCTGTGTGTTTGTGTTGGGGGGGGGGTTGACACCTTCTTGAGGACCTGAGCAGGTGGGGACCCCTCCCCCTCTGAGGGCCTGGCCTTCACAGGCAGGGGGCGTTCCCTACAAGGTGAGTTAGATGGGCATCTCCCTCCTGGGGCACAGCGGGGGTGGGGCCATGAGCACTTCCCAATACCCTGGGCTCCCTGCTCACCCTCACTCCTCCAGATCCCAGGGCACACTTTCCCCAGGGCCCCTGCAGAGCATCCAGCCCTTGACTCCCACCCCCCAAGCCCAGTGTTAGTTCCCTTAGAGAAGAAATTGGCAGGGAGGATTGAAGATGAGACAGACCCCAAGAAGAAACTCTCACCCTGAGCCCCTGCTGTTTGGATTCCATCTGGGAGAGGCGAGAATCTCTGGGATCCTGAGGACACGCGCTGGCCCTGGGCTGCACGGATCCCATGGTCATAGGGCAGCAGCTGGGGAAGCCTCTGGGCCACCAGAGAGCAGAATGCCCCCAACAGGGACATGGGGCACCAGGCTCTGAAAGCTGCTCTGAAGCTGAGGACATAGGGCAGAAGTGCAGCAGGGCAAGGCACATGGAAACATGGAACAGTACAAGGGGGCACCTGAGGTCATGGGGGACAGGGAGTGCCCACAGTGTCAGGGCACAGCATCATGCCGCGCATGTGACCCCATGGTCCAGGCCCAGCACTGACGGACATTTGCTCTGGGATTATGTGGCTCCACGTCACCCACATTTCTGCTTGGGGAACGCCATGGTAGGCTGTGACAGCAGTAGCGGCCAGGACCAAACTGTGACAAAGATGAGAGAAGGATCTAGCAGCACAGAGCCTGTGTGGGTCTGATGGAGCAAACTCAGACTCATGCACTAAGACTAAAGCCACAGAAGCACCGTGGCAGCGGTTAGTCCAGGACTAGTGGTAAGTGTTGCTCTGCCACCTTCAATCCCTGGTCTCACCATATGGCTCAGAATGGCTGCTAAACCCCCAGGCATCACACCCACATTCAAGCCAGAAGGAAGAGGAAAGTGAAGGAGAGGTGCTCCACCAGTCATATGATTGGTCCTTGGCCACAACTCCCTGCAAGGTAGCCTGGGAAGTATGATCACTTTTCCGAAGGAAGATTGTAGAAGGGCACTAGGGTCATGCAGCAGTCCGCGCAGGCCAACGGCCTCAAATGTCCCATTAAAGTTCAGGAAACAGAGCCAAGTGTTTTTGAGCACAAGTAACGTGAACTCACAGTCCACATGGCCAACCAGCCCCTGGACTTGGTCTCCTCCGGGTCTCCAGCTCCACCAGCATTTACATTCGCATCATGTTACAACAACCAATGGATGTCCCCAAGGCTGGGCTCTCTCTGCATCTCCACTTGGCATTTCTGTTTTTATTGCTGCAGAAACACTGCTCCTCATGCCCACCTTCCAAGGGCCTGTGGAAGGCCAAGTGACATCCAGATCCTTGCTGTTCCAGAGCTGGCACCCGTGGCCCCTTGGGGCCAGGAGGGCGTCTCCAGCCCCGGTGAGGGAGCAGTGCCTGGCCCACAGGGAGAAGTGCCCTGCTCTCAGTGAAGGATGCAAGATAAAGGAGGATCTCACCACCCAGTCCTATCTGGCACAGCCCTTTGGGAAAGCGATTCAGCAAAAAGAATCAGAAGCCTTAAAATTGTTTATACTTTGGTCTATTTAGGTTTTTATAAGCTATCCTAAGGAAAAATAACTCCAAAATAAGGAAAATATATATGAATATGTCCTTTGAGGCAAAAATTATAAACCACCTAGATGTTCAACAATAGGGAGATGTCTGAGAAAACATGGCATATGCACCTGACTAGCGGCTTTAGGAAATGCTGACGTCACACAGACTGAAAACACGCATGCATTTTGTCTCAGCTGAGTGAAAATGCATTAAAACACTAAAGAGCAGATAGAATATTTATGCTCATATTTGCTTAATGATGTGAACTGTGAATGGTGGGATTATGCTTTTCTTCCTTCAGTTTGCTTTCTTCAAATTTTCTGTAACACACACATCACTTCTATAAACCGAATTATTATGGGGCACCTGAGTGGCTCAGTCCATTGAGCACCCAACTCTTGATTGTGGCTCAGGTCATGATCCCGGGTGGTGGGAGTGAGCCTCGTGTGGGGCTCCGTGCTGAGGGTGGAGCCTGCTCGAGAGCCTCTCTCTCTTTCTCCTCTGCTTGCTCTCTCTCTCTAAAATAAACAAACAGGGGCGCCTGGGTGGCTTAGTCGGTTAGGTGTCCGACTATTGCTTAGGTCATGATCTCATGGTTAGTGGGTTCGAGCCCCGCGTCGGGCTCTGTGCTGACTGCCAGCTCAGAGCCTGGAGCCTGTTTCAGAGTCTGTGACTCCCTCTCTCTCTGACCCTCCCCTGCTCACGCTCTCTCTCTCTCTCTCTTCTAGAAATAAATAAAACATTTAAAAATTTTAAAAAAAATAAAACAAACAAATAAATTTAAAAATTATGATGATACTAAAACCTGTTACTATGAACTTAACTTCCCCAGACTCAGCCTTCCTCTTTGCCCCAGTCTTGAGTGCATCTTCTGAAAAAGCCACAGTGCAGTGGATGCAGTGGATCAGCCCCTTGCAGGCAGCTTAGCCACCCCAGCTGCTGGCAGAGCTGACCCTGCCCTGTGTTGGGGAAAGGGCGTGGCCCACGTGGGCCTTGGACCCTGGACCCTGCTCCCTTTTCCTTCCCCCTCCGAGCCCCAGAGCACCCTGCCCACCTGTCGTCCTCCATGAGGGCCAAAGTACGGCAGGAGGTGGGCCGCCCTTTCTGGCTCTCTCTAGGCTGCTTTGCCTCCTTTTAACTGGGGGGCTGGTGGCCACGCTGTGGAGGAGGTCAGGATGACGAAGCCACCAAGAGTGCCCCGGGTAAAATGCTGCCCGCAGGACAAGCATGCCCTCACCTTGGGAATCTGCCCTCCCAGCCCCAGTGGCCTGCCTTGTGGCCCAAAGATACTCTGATGTCTCTCTGAGGATAGTTCTCGGAGGCTCGCAGCAGGGTCAGCTGGAGTCAGGGCCTCCCAAGCTCTCCGGGGCTGGTCCCAGATGCCCACAGCCTCCGTCTGGCCTCCCTGGCTGACAGCTCCTGTCTGGGGCAGCAGACCTCCCTGTCCTCGGGCCCTTGCAGGGAAGATTCCTCGCCCAGGCTGGGTTTCTTCTCCTGGGATCGGACGGAAACTGGTCCTTGCCTGTGGGACCAGGGCTTCAGGGTGGGGCCCCAGCCCCTGATGTCCTCACCCCAGGGGCAATTCTGTCTCCAAAATGCCCTCCTGCCTTAAATTCCTAGCAGCTCCTGTTTTCTGTCTTTTAAATTTTTTTTAATATTTTTATTTATTTCTGAGAGAGAAGAGAGACAGCATGAGCAGGGGAGGGTCAGAGAGAGAGGGAGATACAGAATCTGAAGCAGCTCCAGGCTCTGAGCTGTCAGCACAGAGCCCGACGCGGGGCTCGAACCCACGAACCCATGAGATCATGACCTGAGTCGAAGTCGGGGGCTTACCCGACTGAGCCACCCGGGCGCCCCTCCTGTTTTCTGTCTTAAGGAACAGAAAGCCGTTCTTGTGTGGGCTGACAGCCACATAGCCCCACCCTCTCCGTCAGCCTTCAGAAAACAGAAAGTGCTAGAGTTCTCCACAGTCCATTCACCTTGACAGACATGGGTGGAAACAACAGGGGTTGTTCCTTTAGAAACCCGCAAATTTCTCTCCCTCCCTGCAAGGATATCTTATGAAAGCATTCCTGTCAATATTTTCACGATTCACCACCATGAATGTGAGTCCTTCGGGCCTGGGGGAACCTTAGGATCTGAGGCCCGGACACACACAACCCAGATCTACGGCTCCATGCGGTGTGCGCGCGGGGACCAGCTATGCCTGAGAAAAGCCGGAATGGGCTGCCTTCACAGCCCCTCCCCAGGCTTCAGGTAGTCACCTGTGTGGCTGAGGAAGATTCGAGCCTCTGGACCCTTCTCCGGGGGCGGGTGAGTCCTGCTGACTTGGGCCCACCTGCAAGTCCCAGGCCCCGGGTGATGGACCAAGTCCTCAAAGCTGCTCTGCTAACTCCTGACCTGCCACCAGGCCACCAGACCACCTGACCTTCTGAGACAACTTCCCCACTCCTGAGCCCTGTGGAGGACACTGCCAGGCCACGTGTATCTGAAGGGAGGGTGAGTGAAGGGTCGTGGTCAAG